TTCAAAAAGGGAAAATGTCAACAGGCTGTGCAAGACATTCAGTGGTGGTAACTGTTAGCACAAGATAAGCATTTTAAACATAGCTGCTCAACTACCTGCAGCCTGAAATAGTGGAAAGAACATAGACTTTGGAACCACATAAACTTGGGCAAGCTGATGTTTCAAAACTTTGCCAACCCTGCTTCTTCTTGGAACTACTACTGTCATTCTTCCCTGGGTGGCTACAAGGGTTGCAAAGGCTGGGGCTGGAGGTTGTCTGCTCACGGTATTAATCTACATTCAGTGCAGAACTTCTGACTCTAGGAAAACATCCTCTTTCCTGGTGGAAGTAATTCCAAGTGGACAAAGATTCTAAATTTCATCTCCACATTTGCATGTTACAAAAGTTAATTTAAAGCTGGGCACAGTGTCTCACACCTGTAATCCTAGCACTTTGGGAGGCCATGGTGGGTGGATTGCCTGAGCTCATAGGTTCAAGACCAGCCTGAGCAAGAGTGAGACACACACCCCCCTCTACTAAAAATAGAAAAAACTGGGCAGCACCCGTAGCTCAGTGGGTAGGGCACCGGCCACATACACTGGCAGGTTCAAACCCTACCCAGCTAAAACAACAATGGCAACAAAAAAATAGCTGGGTATTGTGGCAGGTGCATGTAGTCCTAGCTACTTGGGAGGCTGAGGCAAGAGAATAGCTCAGCCCAAGAATCTGAGGTTGCTGTGAGCTGTGATGCCATAGCACTCTACCGAGGGTGACAAAGTGAGACTCTGTCTCAAAAATAAAATAATAAAATAAATAAATAAAAATAGAAAAACGGAAGCAAGAGGATCACTTGAGCCCAAAGAGTTGGAGGTTGCTGTGAGCTATGACGCCATGGAACTCTACCCAGAGCGACAGCTTGAGACTCTGTCTCAAAAAAAAAAGTTCATTTAGCTTAAAAACACAGACTGACAGGTATATTCATGTCGGATTTGTTTGTAAAACTGGGAAACAAAGGTTCTCTACTAGGAAAACTGATTTACTAAATTGGCATAGCAACGTGATGAAATACTCTGCACTTTAAAATTATGCTTTTAAAGACTGTTTAGTGAGAAGAAAATGTTCATGATAAAATGTTAACATTAAAGTGGTAAACAAAACATCACACAATATGACCCCACTTTAGAAAACAAAAATATATATATAAATATAATAGGCAAAGAAGTACCCCAAACAAGAGATTTCCTCTGGGAGTTGGGACAGGTAGAAAAAGTTGTTTTCTTTCCTATCAATAATCCTCTATTGCCATTAGATCCGAAAATAACCACCAACGTTATAGACAAGCTGTCGTCGGGGCAGCCAGAGGCCCAGCGGACCCGGACGGACCCCTGCGCCCCCTGGCGGCGCCCCGAGGCCCCGCCCCACGGGGGCCGGCGCGACGGGGCGGGGCGCGGAGACCCAACCCAGCCTAGCCCAGCCCAGCCCGGGCAGGACTTGCAATACCCGGACGCCCGGAACGCTCCGTCGGGAACGGCGCAGGTAAGCCGGGGTCTTGGGCCGGCGGAATTGGGGACTATGGGCCAGCGGGGACCGGGCCAGGGTTGCGGTGGCGCCGGGCCGGGGCCCTCAAACTTTCTCAGAGCTCGTGGCTGGCTGGGCCAGCTCCCGAGACTTAGCTTCTGGCAGCCCTGCCCCGGCCCAAGGTGCTGGCGCCAAAATGAGGCTCTCTCTCCGACCGCTGGGAGGGAGTTTCGCTTTCCTTATGCGCCACGATGGGCGGACCCGCGTGTGGCACCTGGTTAGCCTTGGAAGTTGAGCTGCGTGTTCTGGGCACCTGTGAGTCGGCCAGGGTCGGGGGTATTCTCATGGCCCTCCTTGCTGGAGCGAGTGGACTGCCTTTCGCAGGGTGTGTCCACCATGCCAGCCCCAGAATTGCCAACTGTGTGTGGGATGGGGATTTTCATGGCCCTCATTGGTGGGAAGAGGAAAAGGAGACAGTCCAGGGCCTGGCACCAGGTTGTCCCAGCATGCCCTGGCACCAGTCTCAGTGTAGACAGGTGAACATTTAAGGGTTGGGGAAACGCTGGTTTTTAAATTGGAGTTGGGGGTGGAAGCCAATGAACAGCCTAAGTCTTTGGGTAGAGAAGTGGCCAGCCCTGTCACCATGACTTTGCCTTCTGTCAATCATCAGTCTTGCTTCCAGCCCCTGCTCCCTGGGCTGGGTTCAGAAATCTGCAGGGAAATGCCATCCTCCTGGTGACCTCTTTGGGTCAGAGTAAAAAGAAAACAGGGAAATGGAAAGGAAAGCAAGTGGAGAAGACGGGG